AGGCTAAGGTGAACAAGTTTTCTCCCTCCTCCTTATGACACCCTTTTAGATACCTGAAAACTGCTATCACAGGATGGTCTCCCACATCCACTGGACCATCCTTCCTTCTGACATTGTTGTTCTTGATGAAACTCTCATTTGATGCTTTGCCCAGCTAGTGTCTTATCAGTGTTGGACAAATACGGGATACACATCCAGCTACTTAATGCCCTGGGGCTCTTGCCCTTGAAGCAAGAGTAGCGGTTGTTTTGGAATGTGTAGCCATAATGCAGCTGTCAGAGCATGGAAGACCTTGTGCCAACAGCATGAAGAGCCAGCTGGCAGCTGATTAACTGGGGCATTGCATATGCCTTTTAATTTTGCCCCTTTGATTTTGTGTCATCTTGCTTACCTTGTTCCGCTTCCACATGTTAATCATTAGTATATAGGAAGTGAGGGAGGCCGCTATGGCCCTCACCCCAATCCCATGCCCTCAACCAAAAATTCTTGACAGGGTAGAGAGGTTTGAGGCAGTCAGTGTCAGGCTTTTTTCACATGCCAATATCCTTTTTGCAAAAATTCATATGTGTTACCTGCCTGATTGCCTGGCATCTGGCTGCAGACAGGCCACCCTCTGCTTATTCTTGTTGCAATCTTGTATTAAGATTTCATATTGCTTAGTGTATTATTGTTGAGCATTTGATTAAAGCAATATAATGATCCCCAAGGCTAAACGCTAACACTGCATTAGTGCAACATTGATTTGGTTATTGTATTTCCTGGCATTTCTAGCAGGCACTCTGCCGTGTCACTGAGGGTCTGGCTACACTGCACACTAAGCCTGGGATCTGACTCAGCTTTGAGCCCAAGCCCCCTTCCAGCCACATAAAAATCAGGCAGACTTGGGTCAGCAATCACTCAGGACCTGGGTCCTAAGATGCTGCTGGGGGGTGGGGAATGGGTCCAAGCCCAAATACCATTGGAACAGGGGTCCAAGCCCTATCATTTGGCAGTGTGGCTGAAGTTTAAGCTGCTGACCTGAATCAGAAGGCCTGTGCAGTGCGGTGTGGACGTGTTAGCAAGGCTTTGAGATCTGGGTCCAGCAATTGTAAGTCCAGGTTACAATGCAGTGTGGACATAGCCTAAGGTGACAAAGTGAAAGAAAGACCTGTAAACTTTATGGTGGCTAGATCACTGCAGCTTCCTGATTCCAGGTGAATGGTAGAATTAACATGTCCTTGGTGCACATACGTCAGGTTTTCTGTT